AGTCCATGATGTCACTAAAGAGTCGGACAAAACTTAGTGACTAAACCAGCAAGCCCACAGGAAGAGGATGGGGCTTGGGGATCAGGGAGTGGGACTAGAGCACTGGCGGTCGTCCAGGCCTTTCCTGGAGGACATGGGCAGATGACAGCTTCTGGTGACTCTCAGCTGATTGGGACTTCAGACCTCCTCTGGTCTAATCTGTATTCCAGGGGGAGTTACAGGCCTGGAGAGGAAACTGAGTTGCTTGATATCACTGAGATGGATGCCGGTAGACACAAACCCAGGTCTCCTCACATCTACAGCTGGGCTTGTCCTACAGCCCCCACCATCCCTTAGACCACCCAGCACCCTGTTCCCACAGGCCCAGAAGTAGCCTGAGCCGAGGCAGGGTCTACAGATGTGGTGACTTCCGTGGGACTGACCTCAAACCAAAGACAACCATGCCTCTCCATGCCTGCTTTGGCACTCTCTCCTTGGGACCCACAATCATTGAGCACCTACTGTGTACCAGGTATCACAAGAGCTTTAAACAGCCCAATTGAAAGTGGCCTCTGTCCCCCAGAGGCTGGAGATCTGCAAGGAGAGACAGGCACTGACAGAGGTGACTCTCTCAAGATCTGTGCAGATGCCTGTGATAGATGTTGAGGCAGCACGTATGGAAGCCTGGCACATAGAGGGTGCTCAGAAGCTGGGAGCACACAGGAATTGGCACTAAGTGGTTAGCACCATCAGCTCTCTTAGACATGGAATCCAGACCCCACAGTGTGTGTGTGAGAGAAACGGAGAGAGAATTAGTAATAACAGGTCCTGTTTATTGGGTACTCACTGGGGGCCAGGCACTGGTCTAAACACTCATTGTGTATTACTGCATTATATCTTTGCAATAGCCCATGACATAGATACTATTATTGTCCCCATTTTACAGATGAAGAAACTGAGGCACAGAAGGTTAAACTATTTGCTTATTGTCCTGTAATTGTAACTGTAAACAGCAGATAGGGAGCTTAAATATGGGTCGTCACATTCTCTTCCATCCTGGCCTCGCCACAAGGGGGTGGGGAAGGGGCTGCCCTCCAGTACTCCTCCCCCATCTCCCTTAGAGCTCACCCCCTGTGTTAATGACCTCAGTGAAAGATGAGAACAAGAGAGACAGCCTGGGGGTGGAGGATTAAGGAAGCTCAGGCATGGCCAAGACCTTGCCTTGGGGCTGAGGACACCCTACTAATAACAATACAGGACTCACTCCAGCACTGACGGGACCCCAGGGTCTGCTCTGGGCACTTTGTCAGCTCACTGAATCCTTGCACAGAGCCTGAGGCCCAGCCTGTCACTCTCCCCCACTGAACAGATGGGGCAGTAACCCACCTGAAGTCTAGAGCTGATGAGCGGCACCGCGGGTCCTGCCCCGGCTCCCTGGGTGCCGTCTGTGCTCTTGGCCGCTGCGCCATGCTGCTCCTCACTAATGCATCTCTAACACCTGGAAGGGCAGAGGCAGGACTGAGGCGGGACGATGGGGTGGCCGGGAGGGTGGGGGGAAGCTGAGAGGGCAGAGGTTCAAATTTCCCCATGGGGCCCTCAGCAGAGCCAGCCTCAGGTTGCCCATGACAGCACCCAGGTGGGCAGCAGAGAGAAAGGGGGGTTGACAGAATGCACCCATTTCAAGTTACAGGAGCCTGAGGAGGAGGAGGTGGGGTGATGGAACTGTGACTTAGCCTCTCCTGGGGGGTCGGCTGGCATGAAGGACTCGGGTCAGAGAGACCTCAGGGTACCTGTACACGCTTGGGGTGGCTGCCGTGTAAACCCTGGCCCTATGTGGAGTAACTGCCCACCTGGGGTTCCAGTGGAATCTGGGGTGGGAGCTGGCTGCCCCTGCTCCAGGCGGCGTCATGGGTCTTGCCTCTGTTCCCCCTCAGGAGACTCGCCTTGCAGCACCCCTGTCCTGTCCCCTCCCCACCAGATACACAAACACGTAGTGGCCCAGTTGCCAGATAGGGCTATCTGAACCTCAGAAATGTGCTATCAATATTTCATGCTTCAAACACCACTGTCTAAACAACTCCAATGAAATATGAATGAGGTTTTGACAAGCAGATAGCCAAGACAGAATACCAGGGTGATAAGGAGGAGAAGGGGACAGTGAGGTCTGGATGGACTGCGGGGACAGCAACCACATCCCTGGAATCAGGCCCAGGGACTCTGCTTGTAGAGTCACGGGGAGGCTGGGTGCTGGATCCAGGGCTGAGCTGGGGGAGGTGCTCGGCATGCAGTTCTAGCGGTCCCTGGGAGAGGCCACGGGAAGAGAGAATGGGAAAAGCTTGCTCAGCGCCCTCAAAGGTGCCTCCCTTGCAGGTAGGAGAGCGTGCAGGACAAAGGCCAGGGCTTAGGTCTCTAGAGTCAGAGGGCCAGAGAGGCGAGGGCTGGCAGCGCACTGGCTAGTCTCTGTCCTTTCTCCCTTGAGCTGTTATTGACACAGCTTCTCTGGCTTAAACTTCTGGGAGGGGAGGACGTCCAGCCTGGATGCGGCATGAAGGCCACATGACCGTGGTCGCCTCTCACCTCCCTCAGCCTTCAGAGGCCTCTGTCTCTGGGAGCCTCCTCCTCCAGCTCCTTCCTCCCTGACCAGAGATCACACAGTTCATGGGATCCCAGACAGCCAGGCCTCAGTTCCTCCATGGATAGAATGAAGCAGTCGGATGGATTTTCTGTGAGGTGCCTTTCAGACCTAACATGGGACAGGTTCCCGGATCCACTGCCTGCCCTTGCTGTCTGCAGCAGAACCCCTGTGCGGGGATCAAGGCACTGCTGTCTGCAGTCAGAAGGTGACTGGAGGTATCTGGGCTCACCTGATAAGCTGACGGGAGGGTCTGCTGGAAGGTGAGGGGCCCAGGAATGGAAAAAAGTGGGGCCTCAGCCTAAGGGGGTGGGATGGAGTGAAGAGGGAGCAGCTGAGGACAGGGCTGGGATGGGGAGCCCGGGGACGGATGCCTCATGTCTGGTGTATTCTGGGGATATTGACCAGTCTGAGCTTGTTTAGAAAGTGTGGTGGGAGCGGGGGAAGCCAGGCAGCAGGGATGACTGACTGGGGTCTTGTTAGCTACTGAGTGAGCAGCTCACTGTGGCTCTAAGTGGAATTGGTCACTGGGGTCAGGGTTCAGCTAAGAAGTGGGTTAGCTAGTAGGTCCCAGCCACTGCCCAGGAACCGTGAAGTGAGGGGCTCTTGAAGTCTTGAGCACAGCCAGAACTCTGCCTGAAAGCCATCTGTACCAATGAGAGGTACTCAAGGGCCAGGCTCCCCCCAGACACACCACATCCCAGGCTGTCAGCAAACTACAAACCAGTGGGGCATCTGAAATGGTTCTTTGGGGCCTGCCTTGCCAGGAGGCCTAGGTAAAGCTAAGGCAACAGCTTCAGAACCAAGGTTTGTATTCAGGAGGGGCCAGAGGACCCCATAGGCTTCCCCGGTGGCCTCGTAGGTAAAGAATCTGCTGGCAGTGAGTGCATCAGGCACAGGAGATGTGGGTTTGATCCCTGAGTCAGGAAGATCCCCTGGAGGGAGGGCATGGCAACCCACTCCAGTATTCTTGCCTGGAGAATCCCCATGGACAGAGGAGCCTGGTGGGCTGCAGTCCATGGGGTCACAGAGTCAGACACGACTGAGCACTCACACATGCAGAGGACCCCACACCCACCATAAAATGAACTTTGTTGTCTAACCTGACAGCACCCTCTCGCTGAGCATTCGGCCAAGCAGTGAGCGTGGAAGCAGGGTGGGTGTTTGGAAGTCAGTGGCAGCTCCTCTAAGCTCACCATTGGGGGTCACCTGCTTCCCTGGCCCAGGCCAGTTCTAAGCAGAGAGAAGGTGTCTAGTCGCTTGTCAGTAAAAAAGCTTCATCTAGATCCTTTCTGAAAAACTGACAGTGTTGATGGTAGCCGCTGATTTCCCAGGCTTACAAAATTGGGGTGGGGTGGCCAAGGAGGTTTCTGTAATCCCTCACTGATGGATTAGATGGTGGGGCAGATCTCTCAGGAGCAATGGATGACCTTGAGAAAATGTGGATGTCAAAGGGAGAGAGAAATAATCTCCGTTCCTCAAACTGCTGCCAATAAGCCTTCTCAGCACTGGGGTAGTTGATGGAAACTATTCTGCTATTGCCTCCCAACTCAGGAGGCCGTAGCATTTGACTGCGTGATAAGAAATTGCCAGGCACTTTCTAATTACAATTATCATCATCATGGCTGTCTCTCTTAATTACTTTCTTATAATTAGCTGTTGCTTTTTCCTCAGCATTTGTGTACTTTGCAGATTTGCTGACATTTGAGAGCCCCAAAATAGGGCCATTTGGGGAAGAGGGCAGAAAGGTGGGGAAAACGTGAGGGGAACAGATTCTTTTCAGGCAACCTGATAAATGTGGGGGCCTTTGCAGAAAGAAATAGGGGAAATCAAAAGATGGGTCATTTTCTGAGCTGATGGGGAAAGAGAACAGGAGTGGGGATGTAGGGATTGGGCTTTGTGGAGGGTCTCCTAGTGTTAAACCTTGGAGGAAATACTCTTTTTTAAAACTCGTCTGTCTTCCTTTATTCAAATGTATATTCTATGAGATCAGAGCCCATGTGCATGAACTGTCCAGATTCCTGTACTTTTGCCATCCCCATCAGCTGTTTGTTTTTTTTTTTTTAAGACATCTTCTAGTTTGATAGCCAAAAATGAGTGCTTCTTTTTTTTGCAGGAAATAACTCTTGAAAGTCACCAAGCTGCCATTTCTCAGGCTTGGGTTTCATTTTAGTGAACAAGACTGAGATGAAGCACACCCTGTTGAATCCTTTTCAGAGTTAATTAAATAACTCAGGTCAGGAGTAGCTAGCTTTTCCCTGAAGCCAGTGATGCGTTCTGAGCATCCGTGGGCCCCAGGGCATCTTTACAAAGTGGATTGTGCTCCTTGACCAGATGGTTGGTTTTCACACTGTTCTGTTCTTCCTCCCTCTCTTCTGACCTCCCACAGCCTTATGTACAGAGGAGTGTGTGCACGGCCGCTGCGTTTCCCCGGACACCTGCCACTGTGAGCCCGGCTGGGGAGGGCCTGACTGCTCCAGTGGTGAGTCTGGGCTCTTTGGGGTTTGGGCGGGGCCACAACTCTGGCTGGGGAGGTGCTGTGCTGTGGTTGGATGCTGAATTCTTTGTTCTGGGTTTGGGGTGCCTAGGCAAATGTGGGCATTGGGGAGGAAGCATACCTACATGATGGTACTTGGGGTGGAGGGCTCTAGGGGCCTGGGGGTCATGGCTGGTGGAGGTCTGGAGGGGCATTGCATGTCGTGTGTATGGGGAACTGTGCAGTCATCTATGGATCATCTTTGGCTGATCCAAAGGCTCAGTGGGTGCTCACAGCGACTCTGACTTTTGATGGATGAAACACCTCTGAGTAAGGTTTTTGAGGCTTAAAGTGAAATTGAGATGACACCCATGGGTGTCGAGCCAGGAGGTCACAGTAGTCAAGGTTTGGTCCTCAATGTGGCTGATCCAAAGACTCAGTGGGTGCTCACAGCGACTCCAGGGACTGATTTATGAGACTGGTGGGCCCTGGGATGCCTCTGTGTTCCCCAAATGTAGAAGAATGGCATGCTTGTATGCGGCGGTTACTGTGTTCTTACATCTCTCTGGGCAGACTATTCATGCTCCCGGGGGAGGCTCTCTGGTGAGCACGGGTGAGGCGGACGCTCTTGGACCGACCGGGTGACCCACAGCAGCACAGGCACATCTCTACTGTGGGACTTCTCTGCCCAGAGTCCAGCTGAAGGCGAAGGCTTCCCCTTTGGCTCATTTCCCCTACGTCCTCACAGATAGCCTTCTTTCCAGTGGCACTGTTTGGGATCAGTGGTTGGCTAATGTCATAGTCTTACTTGATTCCACAGGGTCCCTGATTAGTGCTGACGCCCAGTTTCCTTCCCGCTTTGAGCTGGGATAGGGTGTCTTTCTGTGTGTGACTTGAGTAGGTGACATAGCCAAGCCGATCCAGGAGGGGTCTAACCCGTATCAGTGACTCGTCTTGCGGAGCCACCTCCCTGTTCTGCAATGGTCGTGACAACTTGAAGAAGGAGTGTTGGGTCCACTTTGGCCCAATATGGTGTCCTTGATGTTTTCCCCTCTCGCTGGGGTGACGCCTTGTTATGGTCCTTTTTAACAAAGGCCTTGACTGGAGTCTCCCTGTCCATCCAGTCTATGGGAACTTACCAGGCAAAGCAGACTATTGGATGTGGTTTTGTTTGGGCTTTGTTTGGGTGGTTCTCTAGGCTTGGGGAGTCCAGGATCAGTTTGGGGTGCTCCAGAGACGGTCTGTAATGTGTTGGGACCTCCATTGACTGTAGTATCTCCTTCCTTCCACCCATTTCCCTGCTTTGAGGTAAGTTGTGCTGAGGAACAGGGCAGGGACCCCTCCAGGCAATGATAAGTACACGTGGGGGACACGTAAGATAAAGAAACGTGTTCAAGCAGTCTTTCTGTGAGCACCAGAAACATGTTGGCTGAAATGTTTGAGAGCTTTTTCCCCTCTTATCTTTGTTCTGCTTTGTGTAACTTTGCCTACTATGAATCTTTGATGAGGAACTATCTAACTCAGATTCGGTTAACCCTTCTGGGACAGGTTTGCTCACTGTTGCCAAATTATAATGTCAAGGGCTGGAGGTTGAAATACAGTGTGAATCTCCGGGTTCTGAGTGCATACAAATCACCATCCAGCACAACTGTGTTTTCTGCTCACTGTTTCTGGACTGTGGTGGCTGTGGGACCTGGAGGGTTTTTTCAGACAGAGTCTGTCACTTAGGGTTTCCTTCCAGTCCAGTGAAAGAAATGGAGGGCAGCTGCCTTTGATCAGTGGGACTAGGCAGTTTAGAGTAAATCTTGTGCCTGGAGTGTGTTTACCAAGCATGTAGCCCTATTACTTTACAGTATGAAACCAAGCTGCCCAATTGCCACTCCCAATTCAGTCATCAGACTTGGTGCTGAGCAATTCGCAACCTGTTTCCTCAGTAAATATACCCTCGTGGGTTCAAGAGCCACCACCTTTGCATCTACTCAAGGCATGTACTCCTAAACTCACAGAAAGTCTTAAAAGATGAATTCCAACCCTCTTTTGAGAGATGGGAGCATTGAATGAAGGGAATTCATAGATTCCCATTCTCAAAATCATTCAGAGCACTGACCATTTAGATGCCCTGCCAAGAGATTCCCAACCACTGCTTGAATCCCTCTATTAACAAGGAGCTCGCTGCTTCCTATAGAAGCACACTCTGACTATTGAAAAATTTTCCCTCTATTAAGTTGAAATCTGTCTCTAGCTTCTACGAGTTGGTTCTCACCCATGATAAAGGCCAGGGCTGGGTGTTGGATCTCCATGACCATCCTTACCATATCTGTACTTTCTCCCAAGGAGCTCCATGGACAGCAAACTGTGTGTGGGTAGATAGTCATCTTAGAGCAATTGATAGTAGTCAATGAAACCGCACGGATGATATCAGAGTCTCCTTCCACAGGTCAGCCCTTCAGGTATTAGAAGACAGCGATCACCTCCTTCACCCCAGTTTTTATTTTCAAAGCTTCTTTGTTTCTTATATGACATTGTCTAAACTTCCTTCTCTATCTAGTTTCTTTCCATTGGCTGTGGCCTTAATTCATTGGCTGTGACCTTTATTCCTCTTGACTATTGTTCCTAGATCTGACCACAGATGCACGCTCATATGGAAAAATAATAATAGATACAGGTACCCTTTATTGAATTTTACTATGGACTAGGTACTTTATTCATCTTCTCATTTACTCTTTGCAACAACCCTATGATATGAAAATTATTATTAGCTCCATTTTACAGATGAGTAAGTTGAAACACAGGTTAAAGAACTTTCAAAGGACACACAACTAGTTAATGATGGAACTAGGACTATTGATCAAGGAAAAACCTAAGCCTGGACGTGTAATTATTATGCTCTCCTTCCTTCTGGATGCTCAGACTCTGTTAATACAGCCTGAGGTTGAAACAGGTCTTTGATGAGAAAACCTAGTTGCTCACAGGGGAAGGAAGGATCTGCTTGAAAGATGTGGCCCTGAGATATTGTTGTGGAAGTAGATGAATCAGCCGTGGGACACAAATTATGAATTTGTTTATTCCAAGCAATCTGACCCTCTTCGGTACTGTGCCTTTGGACACCTGTCTGCCTGTGTGTGCTCTGGGGGCCTTGGGGACTTCATGGGCCCCGTGTCAATAGGGATGGCTGTCTCCATCAGTGCAGTATGTATATCTGAAGATTTCTGAATGCAGTCTCTCATTTGCCTGTCTATACATGTGACATACTTGCAGGGAAGCTTGCATTTTTTATCTAGTCAAAGGCATCATTGTTGTTGCTGTTTTTTTCTGACTCTAAAAACACATCTGCATGCTGTGTGCTGAGTTCGCTTCAGTTGTGTCCGGCTCTTTGCAACCCCATGGACTGTAGCCCCTAGGCTCCTCTATCTATCTGTGGGGTTCTCCAGGCAAGAATACTGGAGTGGGTTGCCATACCCTCCTCCAGAGGATCTTCCCAACCTAGGGATCAAACCTACATCTCTTATGTCTTTGCATTGGCAGGTGGGTTCTTTACCACTAGTGCTACCTGGTACCTGTTCATGTTTAAAAGGAAATTCAAATGGCACTGAGAGTGTAGACAAAAAGTTAAACCCATACACCCAGTGATAACCACTTCTGGCCTTTGAGTGGTTGCCTTCCCTGTTCTTTTTCTGCATATTTGCTCTTAAAGCTAGATGAGGACACACTTTTATTAGATCAAATATGCTATTCTATAACTTGCTTTTTAAATTCAACTTATATACTCATTTCCTTATCAATAAACATGAATCTCCCTTAAAAATTTTTAATGGCTTTATAGAATTTCATTCTATGGATTGCTAAAAGTAACCAGTCTCTTGGTGATGGACATTTAGGCTGTTTCTGACTTTTCAGTATGTTAGGCTCATCATCTTTTATCCAAGATCTTTGTTCCCTGTTGCTTTCAAATTTTAGATTTTTTCAGAGTTCAGGAAAGTTTATGGTGACTAGATTATATATGACTTATGCCTCCAGTGGAGTTTGGGCAACACCTTGGGATGAAACATAGTAATATTTCTGAAGTGATGTATGACCGATGACTTCTAGTGACATATAGATGATGTATAACCACAAATGGCTTCCACAAAGATTTTGCCTCTAAGTGAATTTTGGAAAATTAAAAAAAAATTCCTTTGGATCTATCTATCTCTATCTAAAGATAGAGATTTGGGGGTTGTGGACCTATGGATAAGGGGCTGTGGTCCTATGTAAAACTGCTGCAACGATTCTTCCTCCACATGTATCTTTGCCCAAGTGTTCCAATTTCTTTTTAGGATAAGTTCCTGGGAGTGGCAGGGAGGATTATAAAGATCCATCGTCTGCTTGCCCCTGCCCTCTGTGGTTGCCAAGGGATTTATGACTTTGATAGACATGAAAGAGACAAATCCAGTAGTAGGATGGGGAGGGGGGATTTTTCATTCTTTTACAGACTTATAACCCCATAGCCTAATTTCTTGAAGGCCTGGATGAATTTTTCTGCTCCATAAAGGAAATAAGGTGATGCTGATTTTTCTGGTATGTAGACACGTCAGCTATCATGGATAATTCTAAGATGTTAGATGAACCAATATGGGCAAATGGAGTGGCTGTATGCTTGGTCATAAACTTCCATCCTATATAATAATGAAGAGTAAAAGGATGAAATGTCAGTTTACACTGAATAAAGACGACAGAGTGACTCTTATTAAATTGCACTAATCTCACAAGTGGAGATAAAAAGAAAAAAAGTTTTGCCATATTGAATATCTAGCTTTTTAAAGTAATTAGGAATATTAAAGCACTGACAATGATTGAGATAGAAACATTATTCATAACTTTTATTTCCGCACTGGGCAATGGTCCAGTATATTTCATTTATGAGGTTTCAGCTGTAAGGAGAAGGACGTGAGCCAATTCCTAAATTAAATATGCCCTGTTAACTTTTATAAATGATACCCAAGAATCAACTCGGAAATTTCAGCCTT